CACCCAAGGGCAGAAGGATTTAATCGCCGTCAGGTCCGAAGTCCATACGCCGCCTCAGCTCTGCGGATGTCTCGGGGGTATGGCACCTTTGAATCGCAGTTAATATTTTTTTTAATTACAACATTTAAAAAAATTATTTTTAGATATTTGCGCCCGAATTCAACCTTATGTACATATTTTTTAAATACAATTCTATTAATTTGTTTAAAAAACTTTTTTTTGGATTTGACAAAAAATTGTTTAGGTGATTTTTTGAATTAATTAATCAGTGGTTTCATTTTGGTAGACAAGGGTAGTCAAACTCAACTTTTTTCACAAAATTTTCTCCGTTTTTCATATGGTACTAATGCGTTTTCTGGTAATTCGACTATACTAGCTTTTAAACTCAAAGGGCGTTTCCCAGCAACATGACTAGAAGTATCCAAATAAACTCGGCTCCTACTAGTTTTTATCAAGGACTCTTGCCTCATATGTATTCAGACAAAGGCCACAGCTTAACTTATGAAATGCAGAGTCTATCGAAAAGATTATCGACTATTTGATAGTGGTTTTTGAAATCCCATGTGCTTTGGCTAGACGCGGTTTATAATCAATCTGATCACTTATGATAACCACGCCCTCTTGTTTGACTGGCACATTACAATACTTCACATATAAGATGTAATGAGTAAGCGGTTTGGGCTTTAAGATGACACATCTTTACGTACTAGGCATATGGTTTTAATATAATTTGTCTGGTATGTTTCCTACTTTTGCCAAGCTCGATTTATGGCGTTTTTAATCACTTACTAATACATTGGGCTGCTTAATACTATGACTCATTGCAAACAAAGCTTATTCCCATTTCCAGTGCTCTCTCGAGAGTTGAGAATGCAACCGCAAGTCAAAAAGGTGCGGGTGCACTTAGGGTAAGGGATAACCCAAGATTTCGTATTCACATTAAATGAGCAGTAATAAGTTGAGCACTATGATTGGATCAACCGGTATTCCTTTCCTTAACACGCATTCCTTACCGTGACCGTGCCGCGTTTCCCTGAACCTTTACCGTACAATGAGTTCAATGTGATATGATATTGTTAATGTCTCAACAAAAATTCATAAGAACTGTCTTTTTTTAACAGGAATTTCAAAATCACTATAATGGCATCCGTGGCAAGCAGTAACGTAAGCGACCTGGTAACGAGAACAGAGAAACTGTCAATCAAATGCATCGCGTCCAATACTAAGATCCTAAAAACCAGAATCACCAAACTGGAAAAAATGTACGAAACAATGAAACAACAGCAGGACGACATCCAGTATTTGCTTGACGCTGTTCTCAAATGGGATGAAGACTTCAAAAGGGTCGTTCGCTTTAGCCAAGGCGTCCCACATATGAGAGGGACAAAGGACACGTGTTCCAAGATCAAAACCATCATGATTCCGAATGGAGAGTTTGATCGCACTATCAAGATCCTCGAAAAGGAAAATGTATCTGGATTCGCACGAGTTGTTCTTCTTTTCGCTGATTTCAAGTCTCTACTCGACGAGAAGTCACCGACAGCAAAATTCTCGGAGACCGTTCGGCAGACGCTCGGAGAGATTATCGGAACATTATACACTATATTGAACTTGTTTTATGATCAATAGAAATCATTATACAAATAAAATTAAGACCCTAATTTATTCTAATTTATTTAGTCGTATGCCATTGCCCGCCTAAGGGCGTGCATAACTTGCTAGGTGGAAATAAAAATAAAAATATCAAATTTTACCAGTTTTACCGTTGAGCTGAGTAGATGGAACTGATACATACACATACACAAATTAAAAACTACAATACAATACGCCAATATACGCACACATCGTAAACAAACAGGGGAAAGACTAGCTAGCCGGCCCGCTGACCAAATCCCTATCACTACACGCACGCGATTTGAAAAAGCAGAATTATAATTTTGGCGCTTTTCATAGCTATCTTTTAAAATCTCAAACGTAAAAGGAAGAAATCAAAAATAAACGAAAGACAAACACATGTTTTAAAAATCAAACCAAAAATAATAAATAAATTCCTTAGTATGAAAGAATTCACCAAACAATGCGCACCCATGTAAAGTACCACGTGTCTCAGGTAGCGATAAAAGCGCGAGCAAAAGGGCGGGAAAAATTCCCGCCAAAAGAATCCAAGTACACGCACGCGTGCGTCTTGCAAAAATTTTGGTTTGGTTTCTTCGACCTCACTTCTTCTTCGTTCCTTCGTCTAGCTAAAGGCAAAATTGTCACTCTTTTAATAGTTGAAAGCTTTTGAAAAACGCAAAATTGGAGTCCTAAAAAGTATACCAAGTAAAAATACTTTGTACTGGTGGCTTTTGTTTTAAAAAATTGTGATTTGAAACCCGGTAAAAAATAGAAACAGCAGTGCTTTTATCGACGACTCGAAACTTGTGAGGAAGATGGATTCCATGTATACTTCGGCTTCAAGTTCTTCAGCAATCACTTCTGGTTCTGTTTTTGGCTCTCTAGATGAAATTCTAGACGAGGGAGAAAGCGGTTGTCCTGCTTTTGACAGGTTAATCCAAAGAGCAGGTAAAAAAAGTAATGAAGTTTAAACTTCAACTTTTTGAACACAAATACAAGACAACGTGGTTTTAGAGTACAAACCTTATTCTAGTTAAGTTCTTAGCTTTTAAGGGTACTTTGACTGCAGGACTAAGATTTTTCATTCGTTGAACTTCAGAAAATGAGAATTCTGAATTGGTCAGACTTCTAGAGGAGGAAACACGAAAGCACTCAGGTAATTTTTAAAATTGTTAGATTTTTTTTATCCGTGGAAAGTTTTCAAACTTTCTGAACCAAGTAATTTTAAAACTGAACAGCATAAGTATTTGTTTATTTGTTAATAATCAAATACAGCACTTCAGAAGGAGCTTGAAGATGCAAACTCACAAAGAGAAATACTTGAACGGTCTTCTAAAAGTTTGAAGGAAGAAGAAAAACAGCTTCAAAGGCTTGCAAAGCAAAATAAAGAAATAGGCGAAAGGTGAAATATTAACTAACGTTTCTGAGTTTGAAAAAAATTTTAATATCAAAAGTATCGTCACCCAGATAATTTCTTTAAAATATTGTCAATTGGTTTTATTTTAGTCTGAAGAGAACAAATGCCTTACTCCACCAACATGAAGGGACTTTACAAAAGAAATATGAAAAAGCTTGCTCTGATCTACAAAAACTACAGTATGTTATGTTCATTATCCACTTTCATAAAATTGTCTATCTGTCTATACTATCTATCCATCTGAATTTATCCATGCATCCTTGCATATATCCATCTGTCCACCCCTCCCACTATCCAGCCATCCATAAAATCACACATTTTATCCATCCATCTATCCTCCCATTCATCAATCTATCCATCTGCATTCACCCCTCCCTCCCTTTCTCCATGCATCCTTCCATTCATTCATTCATAATAATTCATAATTATTATGAAGATATCCACATTCCCAATGATGCTATTAGACTAGATAATGTTGAAGTTGTGGACAAATACAAGGGCACATGGGATAGGTACTACGCCTTTTATGAAAAGTCAAAACTTGCAGTAGAATTGGCAAATATCAAGAAAACAGCAATGGAAAAGCAAAAGCAAGGTCAGTTTACATAATTAGTGGAAAATTGATTTTAGAGAGAAGATATTAGTTGACAGTAATAGTTGATGAAAAGGTTGACATGGGCAAAACCATGTAAGTTCTGAATTTTTATTTATTTCAGCAAGCGACATAGAGGAAAAGATTAAACATATGGAAATTCAACTTAAAGAAGCAGAAAAAGAAAAGAAAATCATTGAAGGTTAGATAAAGCATTATGGTTATTTTATGAATACATATAAAAAGAAGAAAAAAAAACAAAACAATGGCAAAACAAAATGTGATTACCTAAAATGATACCTCAATTCTTTTGACCAATCAGAGAAACTGAAAAATGGTCCAAAGTCTTCAAAAGCAGCAATAATTGAATTGTATCCTTTTGTGCCTAGTTCTAATAAAAAATTCACCTGCTATAAAGAAATGGCTGCTCAATGGGAAAACATGATGAATGGCCACATGTGACTGGTCAAGGACACTTAAGGCATTTAACCAGACAAGCGCCAATTTTGGCTGGACATTGTCCTTTGATCAGCTCAGCGTTGTTTTTAGGCCTGATGCAAAAATATGTTGCATGTGTTAAACAAACATTATTTGGGTGTAAGTTGCAAAATTGTCTATCACAATAATTATTATGTTTCCTGAATGAAAAACATATCAGAGCTGAACTATACACTCAAGCGACAAATACAATAAAACTTGGAAATGAGAAACTTGATCAGTTACAAAAGAACCAGAGAAAAGAAGATCTGGAAAATGTGATGGTTCCTTCAGCTAATTCAGAATATGAAGGTAATTAAATACTTAACTTAAGGAGTCAGTCTCATCTCTTTTATCTTTAGAGGTAACCCAACAAGATAGGAAAAAAAAGGATTTTAGTTAATTTTTTGGGGGGCCTGAGTCCCCTGGCTACGCCCCAGTTTATTAATCCAGTGGTTTCAGTAAAATAATTTTTATTTTTTAGAACAACAATTAGAGTGTGAAACAGAAAATATAGATGAAGGGCTTCAAAGGAAAGAAAGTCCAAAAGTGATAAATGAAGATCCATCCCATGAAGAAAATCAAAAGAATTGCCAAATACAACATTCACCTGTGGTAGTCAACATCAATCCTGAAAAACCACCACCACAACATCAACTTCATTCTTTTCAGGGGAGAAATCAAGAACCTATTAGCAGGAGCGTTGTCCAACCAATCCAAAAGGATCAATCTCCAAAGCAAGATTCATTTGCAAAGGAAGATAACTCCCAAATGCTATTGCAGTCAAAAACCCCACTGCTCCAGCTGTCCAATCAAAAGAAACTTTTAAATAGACCTTTTGACAGTCCTAGGCCTACAGCCATTAATACTAATGGATTGAAAAACTATGGTCGCTTTCTGTCGCCATATACACATATAAATGTACCTTACACTTTTCAAACATCACTGTCACCTGCAAGGGCTCCACAGTATCAACTTTTCAACAGCTCTTCTAAGGCACCTTGCACATCACAGCAATCCCAAAGCTGGATGCAAGGTAAGAATATTAAAACTATTTTGAAGACTCTTCAATAATAGAACTTTTTAGCCTTGATGTATGTTGTGCCCATTTCAGACCATGTGATGGCACTGCTGGGAGTTGATTCTTTTATATGTAAATATTTCCACATGTTGTCTAAAAGAACAATTCTCAAGGGAATGTCATGTGATCTGAAATGGACAATTGGCATACCAAGCTAACAAGGTCTATTAGGTTAGCAACTAAAGGTTCTTGTTTAATACCAATTCTCCTTGGGAGTTACACATGGCAATGAATCATTCACACACAGCTCCTGGAATCCAATTTGTGTCAATCATGGTAAGGTACAAATCCACGCATGCTTTAATAAAAGTACTGCTATGAACTCACCCTCCCTGCCACTCTGCTTTTCACTCATATAAATATACTTCCTATACTTTTTTTACGAGGAATTACAAGGAAAGATGTAAACCCCTATTTGTTATCCCCCCCTGGGGGGGGGGG